CCCGACCTGCAGGGGAGGGAACCGGGGAGCCGAGAAGCCCGCTCTCTCTCACGACCGCCCAGAGGCAGAGCCGGCTGGCTCCCGGGGGTGCTGGGTGCTGGGCGAGACGCAGGGCTCCCCAGCACTCTTCGGTCCCTGCGTGACCTCGGATTTCTCCCAAACTCAGGCCCTCCTCGATGAAGTGGAACCATAATTATCTTTTTGGGTGTAAATAGCAAAAACACAGTGGAAGTGACGTAGTCACAGAGTCGCCCTGCAGATTTGGGGACGGAACAGGAGCCCTGTAAGGCAGGCCTGCAGCCTGCTTGCTTAGGCCACCTGCGTCCTTCCTCCTCCCCTGCTGGCCCGGCCCCTCTGGCCGTCCACGCGTGTGGCTGGAAGTGCCAGCCTGGCTGCGGGCCCAGCACCCACGTCTCACCCCGAGCTCATGTGGTCGGGTCCCAGCTCCATTTCCTGGCCCAGCCTGGGGCACACATTCCCCTACCCTCAGCGAGCCGTGGCCTGGGAGGTGGCAGTGGGGGTACAAATGAAGCTGCCGTGCCAGCAACTCAGACACACAGAGAAGGGGGACCAGGCTGGCACCCCAAAACCCATTGGCGACAGTAGCGTACTCCTATGAAGATGCTGGGGCCGCAGGGCGTGAGAGGCTCAGCAGAGACATGGGGCTCAGCGGTCGGGGGTGGGGGGCGGGGGACACAGCTCTGCCCAGACGTGCTGGTAGCAGATGCGGCCTTGACCCTGACCCCACATCTCCCTGGAGCTGGGACCCGGGCCCGTCCTTGCCCGTGTCAGCTCGCTCATCTTCACAAGTGAGGCCCGAACCCCAGGGGGTGGGTGCGGGGTCTCAGAAAGGGGACTCCTTGACAAGCGCTGGACGGGGCGGTGTGGACGCCGATGCCTGCGGGACCGGGGAGCCCTGGGTTCCCGGGCGGGCAGCGGGGCACGCGCGGCGTTTGGGGGGACGGGGTCCGTGTGCCGGACTGCCACCCTGACGGGGTGCTGGGCTTGGCCGGATCACCGGGGGTGGCCCTGCTGCCCTTCTCTGAGCCCCGTCTGCAAAGTCGGGGTCCCAGTCCCTCTTCTGCCCTCCCACGGTCACTCTGAAGACTGGGAACGGCTGCCCAGGGCCCTCCGGCCACCCCGGGGTTGGGCGCGGCGAGCGCGGAGCCCCCAGGCCTGTGAGCCAGACGGGAGCGGGATCCGGGCCCCGCGCGCCGCAGGCAGCTGCCGGCTCTGCCTTGCCTCACCTCAGCGAAGCGCATGAAATGCATCTGGACAGCAGGCCTGGCCGCCGCCCAGCGTCCCCCCGCCGGCCGCCTCGTCTGCAGACCCAGCTCCCTGGACTGGGCCCCGGGTCGGCCCGCACCCCCGGCGTGGCCAGTGGGCCAGCTGGCCTCAGCCGCCCTAGGCGCCTAAGAATGCAGGGTCTCGGGCCGGCTGTCTGTGTGTGTGGCCTGCGCTGCGTCTCCCCAGCTCGGCCCTGCGGTCAGGCTGTCTGGGTCTGCCTGTCCGCACCCTTGTCTGTCTGGTCTGAGAGCTGTCTGTGAGTCTGTGTCTCCTTGTCTAATCTCTGTGGGTATGTCTGGGTCTGTCTTTCCGTCTCTGTCTCTCTGTGTGGCTGTCTGTCTGTCTGTCTGTCCCCGACTCGGCTTTGCCTCTGATACACTGTCGCCTGGGTGAAACCCCCCGAGTCAGTACACGTCCGCATCCCCCTCCATCCAAACACAGGGGTCCCGGCGTCCTGCCTGGCCACGGTCCCTCCTCGGCCACGTGACCCTACAGACCGTAGCCTGAGGTCACCACGTGCCTTCCCAGCACCCCCACCCCAGCACGGGGGCTCAGCCCCCCCACCCGCCACCCGCCCGGACCCGGAGTCTCTGAACAAAAGCCCCATCTGTCCGTTATTCTCACACATTCCTGGAAGAGGGGAAATCAGCCCAAATTCCAGCAAGCCTTTGGCAGAATTTATCAAAAACTTCAGAAACGTGCATACCACAAAGTTCTTCGCTGCATATTCCTGTAATCACGAGGAGTGGGGAGTCACACAGATGCCACCGGCGGGGCCTGGCCGAGAGAGCCGTGGGACGGGGCGGGCGGGCTCTGCTAGTGGCTCTGGAGGGTCCCCCGGGGATACCCCTGTGTCCAAGAAAACATGGTGGACCTGGGGGTAGACTACGAGGTGAGGCAGGCGGCTTCAGAGGGAGCAGGGGATGTATATTTGCTGATATATTTAGAAGAAATCACTGGAGAACAAACCCAGAATCAATTAAAACGGTTACCTCCGGGAGGAGCGGAGGCGGGGCAGGGGGAGAAGCGAGACTTCGCCGAATACACTCGACTTTGGAACCAAATGTTTTCCGCAACTAAAACTCAACATTAAACCAATTTTTAAAGAAAAGATAAACATCGACGGGCATAAATGAACGGAAGTGTTGAGTTGGCGGAAAAATCACCCTAAGAATTATTTTAAGTGACTTTGAAACAGAACCAAAAAAAAAAAAAAAAAAGAAGGCAAATAAATATCAAATTCCATTCAGCGAACTTGTCGGTAAAAACAATGGTAGTGTTATGTTTTGGTTATTATATATGATGGGAAAATGCAAATAAGTAATGAAGCGTATGTCGTTAAATAAGACCGTCCCTGAAAAAGTCATGTAGACATCAAACTTGAACAAGTCAAAACCCTGTCATCTCTCATTTTAAGTGAAAATATCAGTGTGGATTCATGTTTCACTTTTCTCCTCCTAAAA